AAAAAGATTTTTGCAGTTGTCACAACCCGAATCATGGAACTGCAAAAGGGAATCGGCTGAGCAGCGTCCTCAACGCTCCACCGCAACAAACACCGCACCTGGTTGCGCGACTTGATTAGGCGGCACACGTAGCAACAAACAAGATTCTTATTGGTAAGAGCAAAGTCAGAAGGGTCCCGATTGGACTCGCCGTGTGCTGGGACGTCAGCGACCCGTTCCATTTCTGGGCTCCGGGCCCGTTTCTACGTAGATGCTACTCCTTACTAGTACCGTATTAAGCGTATAGGATGCACCACAACTCAGGCTGCCAGGAGAAAAATACACGGAGAACGGAGCTGAGCAGCGACGCTGCCGGTATCGTTGCTGTAAGGTTGGGCTGACTACAGTTTCAAATTTAAACATATACCGTAGAGGCAAGGAGGTGCATAAATGAAGAATACCGTCACGAATTCAGCTATTGGAAGAGGTCCGAGGCGATTGTTGCAGTTGGCGGTTGACTGTCGTACCAGAAAACCTGCCGAGGTTGTCCCTCAGCCCGGGGAGTACATTGGATTTCCGGGTGCGTATTGTGCAGCACGTAGAAATTACTTTAATTGGTGGGTGGCGGATGCTTTGGTGTGTGGGCCCTTGGGGCTTCTCCTCGCGTCGAAAAGGCATGATCAAATTGCAATAGCCGATAGGTTCAGGTTCGCAGGGAGTCGGGGTTACGTTCTGCGCTTCCTAAGCCCAGGCTTACATGTGTGCCTGTAGGGCTGATGCGTGTAACACATGCAACTAAAACCGAAGCCAGGACTCAGAACCATGCCAAAACTCAAATGCCCGAAATTAGCTTCATATCAACAGTTAGATATTTTCAATCTAGACACGTATATTATTGCTTTATACGGCTCGGAGCTGGATAGCTCAGGCTTTTGTGGGTTTGCCTGTAATGCACCTAGGTCGTCCAGGCGCCTTCGACGGTTGAAGTTGGAGTTGTCCGTCTCTTGTCTTCCCAGAATGCATGAGCTATGAAATGTTTTGATTGCATTAAGGATCAGGCAATTGGATAGCAGCACCAGGAAGACTACATTGCAAAGTTTGTCCTCACAATTGCTTCTGTTTGCCCGCTTACAGGCAGAAACTGGAAGATCTGCGTGATGAATGCTGTGAGCAGGACGACAATTACATCTACCTTTCAGCTTGCGATGTTCCGTGTCTCGTCCCATGTTAGGGCTCGGTGACATGGAGCGACGGGGAGATGACATGCTGGGCCTAGGCGTTCAAAGCAAACAGGTTCAGCAGGAACTGATGATTTCGACAACCTTTAGTGTGGGCTTTGATGGGGTACGTAGGCGTTGCGTCCAGTGCCGTTGCGTGCTGTACTGCACTTCACAGTGCAGTTCGTCGTACCCTGTGCAGCGCCTGGTGTATTGTCCGGTGCCATGTTGGACGTT